TACTGACTTGCACACCCGGAGCAATCACTTTCAACCACAAAGGAAACCTAAACTCGTGGCCACACACTTCTTCAAAGTCACACCTAAGCCAGCCTGGAGTGTAAGTATGCTGCAAGAGGCTCAGCAGTGTCTCATCAAAAATGTGCATTTGCAACACATGGGCTTTTTCACTTCCTGGGCCTTCACTTACCTGTCTTCCATAGAGTCCTCTCTCCTGTAGGGCGAGTTCCTTATTGTTATCTCCATGCGGTGGTCTCTCAGCTCCCCCTCTTCAAGGGAATCCCTTTTGGAATCCCGGTCATCAGACTAAGAAACAAAGGGAAAACCAGTCATTTTCCTCAGAGATAACCAAATTTTAAACGATAAATCAGCCAAGTCTTACCAATATCTAAAAAAATTTCACATCCATTTTGAATGAACCAACTGAATTAAAAAAAACTGTCACTCAAATCTCATGATGTTAAAAATCACAATCCTCTGAAACCCAAAACCCGAGATGAGAAATTTTAAATGGTATATTCCACAAGGGACATCATACTCTAGCCAAGGGTGTTAGTTGCTTACATGAGCCAAAACTGTGCTTTGCTATTTTTCAAATCACATAATTTAGGTTGCGTCACAGAGTGCTCAAAAGCACTTCAGAACGGCTTGGGTAACGTCTTACCAAAGAAGTGTTTTTCCCAATTTCTATTCAGATTACTAAAAAGCATTTTTTTTGAGTATGTTATGCCAACCAAGAAACAGGTAACTATTATTTCAAGACAACGTTCTACGATGTTAAAAAACGCCTAGAAAGGGTATGATGACTGTACTAAAGATGAAATGAGGAAAAAAACAACAAACTAATCCAATTGTACTAGTGATTTTTAAGATAACGATACTTTATTCTCCACGTAGTCTCATCTAGATGTAGCTTTAGTGGGTTATCAAACTGAGTTCAATGTAAACTGGGCATTCGAGTGTGTTTGTTAATTTTTAGAATAGACTTTGGGCTCACCTGAGACATTTGGAAGTACAAAAGAACTTCACCGAAGAAGCGTTGTTCTAATGGAAAAACGAGGGCAAAGACATTAAATCTCCTTTAAGAATACCACTGACATAAAAAAAACACTGCTTACATTTTTTAAGCGTTTTATCTCTGCTTTCTCCTCTTGTTCCTTCCTTCGTTTCTTTTCCTGAAGAATTTCATCTAAAGTTTTCACTTTCCAAGAGTCCTTTTCATCACCCATTTGAGTTAAAACACTGCAAAGAGAAAAACAATCCCGGCCACCTTAGCGCCCGGCCAGCTCGGGTGGGATGCTTCCCCGCCTCCAAACCCCGAAGGCGAGGTGCTTTGGAGGGCCTCGATTGCGACTGAAAAATGCCTGCTTGGATGCAGGCTCCTTTTCTGTCACGACTGTCCCATCGGGGGCAAGTCACGTCACCGAAACCACAGCACCCGCGGCTTTGCCCCAGGACTAGCCGCAGGGCAGACTATCAGGGTCTTGGCTCGGGACCCGTCAGAACTGATCAGTACCACCCGGGTGACTGAGGTCCCCGGAGCCCTTGACAGGTGCGCCCTCCGCTACAGGTGGCAGGCGAGGCTAGACGGGGGAGACGGTCCTTGACAAGGCCACCTGCCCCCAGCGCACGGCGCCAGGGCCCTCGGGGTCAGCCACGCACACCTGAGGTTCGGCCAGGCGGCAGACGGGCCCGGGGAGCCCCTTGGGCCCGCAACCTCCTCCGAGCAGAGCGCGGAGAGTAGGCGTGTCGCGCGCCAACGGTCCCCCCCAGGCCTCTCTGAGTTCCGCTCGGACCCGGACGCTCGCACGGC